ATGTTTGACATTTTCCTTAAATGTTATTTCATGGACTAACCATATGGCTTCTTATATGAGTCAAATCTTATAGTGAGCTGTCTAAGCTTGGTTACAGATGTATGACCAAACCTTGCTGCCAATGCTTCCCACATCTCCTTAGCATTTTCAAAACGCCTAAACTCTCGCATGACATCATTTTCCATGCTACTCAGCAACGTGATGCGAGCAAGGGAGTTCTTCCTTTTACATACAGCAAATGCATCCTTATCTCTCTTATGTTGTGCAGTGTTTCCGTCTTTAGGCTCTACCATAACCAGGTTAAGAGCTTCAAGAGCCTCTTGCTCTTCCAACACATATTGGATTTTCATATGCCAAATTTCATAATTATCATCGTTAAGCTTCTCTCATTTGTTCAATTCAGCAACTATATTCTTTGATGCTGAAGTCATGGTATCTGAACATTTCAGACATATACGCACGAATTATTAATGCCACTCATTTATGCATCAATTTTACACAAACTGATTATATTAATGAATAATTTCACATAGGCTTTAGATTCAAAAGTTCACTATGTTCCCAATCATCATAAAAAATCCTAATGTGAAATTACCGTTAATGTAATCATTAAAGTAAAATTACGTTCTTTAAAGTTACTGAAACTTTTAGAACTCTCACTCAACTCCTTATGATACTAATAAGATAAATATTAAAACAGAATAGTACTATAAACTATTCACAACATGAATATCCATCAACATTCATTTACCTAATACTATGTACATAAGGAATGAATCCATCTAAGGAAATAAACATAAACACTAACATAAAAAGAACTATCCACCCAAGATATTTAACACCAACCTATAGTGAACATATCCATAAGAGCTTACGAAAAATAGATAAACACAATCAGGTGGTGATCTGCTTTCTATACACCGGAAATGACTCATGAAAATCCTCAGGAAATTCTATTTTCTTTGGCATCCAAATGGAGGCACCCGGAAAACCCCTAGATTCGGGCAACGTATTGCGCCGAGACCGATTCAATGCAAGGGTTGACGTCCTCCTTGCCCCGACCCGTATGTACTCTATCATGAATTGCTCCACAATCATCTTATAGCTCGGACCTTCTAAGGTGTCCCAAACCCTATCAATCATTCTTCCCAACTCATCAGGAATGGTGCATTTGAGGGCTCCGACCATCACATACCCTGGCATTACAAAACCGTTCCAAATGATATCTTGTATCATTTGGTTGACCTTGATGATGTGTGTCATCATGTCATCATCACATCCCACCAGAAAGAGCCGCCTTGATTCTTAGTTTCTCAAGCTTCTTCTTTTAAGCTGCCGTTCTAGGGATAATAGGGGTTCGATATCTTCGTACCATTATTCCTGCAACAAATGCAGAAAAAATGAAAGGATTACTTATAATCCAAGGTACAACATTTCAAGAAACACATTCTACCCCTTCTGCCTTTTTTTTTTTTTCGCCGGTCAACGGTGGTCAACGCCGGTCAATGGTCAACGGGTCAAGTCTATGGGTCGGGTGGACTATCGGGTCAAGTCGGATCAGGGTCGGGTCGGGTCTGAAAAACCCGGTTGGGCAACCGCATGGCTGACGTCAGCGTGACGTCAACCACGCCACACACGCCCTCATGGCGCGTGCGGTGCACGCGCGCGGGGAGGAACCGCCATGCACGTGCCACGCACGTGTCGGCGAGACCGCCACTTGCGGCGGTGCGTGTGGGCGCGTGCGGCTCCCCCCGGCGGAGTGCCACCCGTCATTTTGCTCGTATCGACGAGCACTACGACCCTATGCCTTCAAAAATAAAATTTATCGCACGGAATTTCGAGAAACGATCCCTGAACAGTACGGTCGGTGTCGGTTTTCGTACCCGAGCGTTTGTCGGCGCCGTTTCACGAATTCCGGCCATTATTCCGTGTTATGCACACTAGCAACGATCAGGAAACAAGAAAACTAGCTCTGATACCAATGAAGGAAACATATTCCTAAACATAATACAAAAATTGCGGAAAAACGTGCCCATTCTACGCTTGAATCACCGATCGTTCGAAGTATATTACGTGAAATGAACATACCTCTTTTACCACAGATTAAATGCACTTATCCCAGCCTCGAGAGAGAGAACAATCCTTGAATTGTTGAACAAAGCCCCTTCTTCTTTGTCCTTTAGTGAGAATGAGTTTTCTGATGATGAAAAATGCAAACTCCACACACTCTTACGTGTGTTCTCACTTTTGTTTCTAGACAATAACTACCAAGTGCAGTTACTTTCTTTCATGGGCTGGGTTAGCCCATCATGGGCGGCCCATCTTCACAAAGAAAATCCATCATCTCCAATAGTAGGAAGAGCTATAACATCCGCATTCACTTGATCACTTGGTGTCCACTTCCAACTCTCAATCACACTATTTTACAAATTGCTCTAATACCACTTGTCACGGGCCGACATTTGAGATTGCGTCCATGTGGCACTTAGGCTCCGGATGACCTGTTCCCTCCTTAGAAGAGTTGTCTAAGGTTAGCCTTCCCTTCGTGGAGTCGTCTAAGCTTAGCTTTTCCTCTGGAGTATCGCTCACTCGCTCACCCTAGATCATAATGTTTGTGAGAGAATGCTCTATTGCTAGTTGGATGACATAAACGAGGGGAAAGGGACCCTATATATACTTAAGCCCCTTTAAAGACAACCATAAATCTCCCCTTGATCTAATTATGGAGATCCAATCTTTCTAACCATCATCTACCCCTATTATTACAAGAATCATCTAGTATAAATACAACATATGTTTTCCCTATTGCCCCTAGGAATATTCAGTGATATACATGTAAGCTATAGATCCCGAGAAACTTCAAGGCTTGCCTGGTCATCTTAGCCATCTCCTCGGACTGCAAAACCTGTGACACTCGCATGTAATACACATAATAAACCTATATGCAAAGTGAAAGAGGAAAGGAGACAAAGTGAGATGAGATGCTGTATTGAGATAGGAAGATCGGATCAAAATATTGGAAAAACTACACGTGGTTATTCTGGAATCAACTTTTAATTTTTTTTTTCAAAAGGTAGTAGATGCAAACTGAACTTTATGGCCGTAATAATCGATTATTTAATTAGCAGGCGACAAGGGTCGTTTGTCCAATAATTCGTTTTGTTCATTACTAGTGCAAAAAAAGCCAAGGCGAAGAAGCCATCTAAGGGCAAGGCTAAACAATGCGCGCGCCGCAGTTTTGTCACCGAATCAAATCACTTTATTGGGTTTAGTACGTCACAAATGATGTAATTTTCGCACAGTAGTTGTTTGAATGCTATAATTTTTTTTTTCAATCACATAAATGCCATAATTTTCATAAGGCTCTTACTTATGTATCATAACTTTGTTTTTTTTTTCCAATTACTTGAGTCTATAACTTTTCAATCGATCATTTGAATATCATAACTTTTTAAATCGTTTGCTGCATGTAATGTCGGATTTTTGACACTTCGGTAACCGTTTTTTAAAACTTATGGCACTTAAGCAATCAATTGACAGTTATGACACTCAAGTAAATGATTTTTAGAAGTCATGGCACTAAGTGATTGAAAAAGAAGTTATGATGCTTATGTAAGCGCCTTACGAAAGTCGATACTTGTGGTAACCTTACCCTTACTTTTTTGAGGATTATTATAGAATTTGAAACCCTAGAAATTAGAGAGAGAAAAACAAGATGCAAAACTTTAGGCCAAAAATACTTCATTAATATTTTCTATTTCTATATCTTTTTAGTTGATAAACCAAGTGCATTCGATAATCATTCTTAAAAAAGAAGAAGCATTTCAAGTCTCAAAGTGTTGTGTACTCATAACAGGAAAAATAATATGTCAAGAAGTCATTTATTTCATTATTTATTGGTTACTTGACAAGACTCAAGACATTGGTTTTGTAAAATTCTTTATTTTGTCCGGATTATTGTTAAGTCATCGTCACTGTAACAAAAAATTTACACATTCATCGTTGGATGAACAACATGCATACTTGAGTTAATTTCGTAAGCAAATTCTTTTATTCGTCAATAATCCAATGGTCTGGGTGTCGGTTATTATTTACCATCGACCTAATGAATTTCCTTTTTTAAAGTAATATCAAGCAGGATCTATAAAATCGATATATTAAGATGTGAACATATACTGATTTTCATGTCTGATTTCAACTTGAATTTTTTTAAGCAGTGTTTCGGGGAGACTTTGTTAATAAATTAATGAAGAAAAATGTACGATCTTCATATTTACTTATTTTAATTCAACTTCTTGTTGGGGTTCAATCCAATTCAACTTTTTTTTTTTATCTCAATGACAAATAATCATATTTATATTATACATTAAATAACATTTTGGCCATCTATTATAAATCCCCTCTTCCTCCTCCTCCTCCTCCTCGTTCCTCTCTCTCTCGCTCTAGCTTTCGTTCTCCTTCGCGAGCTTTCTTCCTCTGACCAGCTTTCGCATGTCTCCTCGCACGAAGCGCCATTCCACCTCCTCCGTTCATCTTCTCTCCCGCCTCGCGCGTCCTCCCCGATTGCCCTCCCCTCCTCCGTTCGCGATCTCGCCTCAAGCCCTCAAGCCCGCGCGAAATCTATCTACACCCCCTCCGCTCCGCCGTGTTTCGGGCCCGCATTGATGGTCGCAACAGCGACGGTAGGGTTCCTCTTTCCTTCTGTGCATGAGCTCGATTTCTCGCCGCCGAGCGATAGCAATCGATACGTACCGTCGCAAGATCAATCTTCACGAGGAGCGATGAAGTGGATCGGACCGCAATTCTCCATTTTTTTTTTGGAGAAATATAGGAAGAGAACGAGGATTTGATCATTTGTGTCGTGATTATCAGGCATCTTTTGTTCATGTGTGCTTGATCTTAGCATGATATGTACATAATCGATGTGAATTCTGACCGGAGTGTTTGTCTCACCACGAGTTTCTCTTTTTTTTTTCTTTCTTTTTAAACTTCTGATGCAGATGCCATAACTGTTCGAGGAGAGCTTGCTATTTGAAGCTATCGGGCTGATTTTGATCTCTGGTGAGAACTGGATTTTCTTTGGTTTTCGTTTTATCTTTTCCCGCATTTCGCTATCTTTTACAGTCTTCACAAACCAAATTTGTCTGGTAAATTCTTTCCCTTTGTTCTGTTAATGGAAATTTTTGGCTAGACTACTCACTGTTCCTATAGTCTTGATGTTAATTCAGGACTTCTGTTTATGGAATAATGATTTTATATGCTTTTGGAACCTTTGTATGCACGAGAAATTGGAGCCTCCTTGTTTAGATTCTCCTCTAGCTTAGAACCTCCTCGTTTGAGATTTCTAATCAAGTAGTTTTGCATCGTATATCTACTATAAATGGAATTTATGCCTGAAAAAACAGTGTGTGGAATGAAAGTCTCTACATGACCAAGTCACAGTTCATTTCATAGCGAAGATATAAAAGGGACGCATGAAATAATAACATGAACATCAACCGATAATTCATTGTTCTGGTACATGAGTTGTTCAATGTATAAGGTACTTGAAATTATGGTGAATGCTTGCAGCTTGACATTTCTTGTATCTGTACATATCTAGGTGTTAATATAAATACGCATATGCTGTAATATTTTATGTGCTTCGTTGGTTGGTATGGTCCACAATGAAAGAAAATAATGAGATGAGACTTAGTTTTTGCATCTTGAGACTGTTAACCTGAAGAAAATGATCACACCTGATTTCAATGATCGTCAAGACAATATGAAATTTCCCTCCTTTTAAAGTTGAAAGAGTGAAAACGAAGATAAAAAAAATTACTAAGGTAAATTAAATTATATTTAAAGTTGGAGGGTCATAATTAATAAATAAAGATGATTGGAGATTATAAATAGGAGGATGGTCATGCATAAGACTACTGGGATTAAAAGAGCAATTGTTAGAAGAAAGAAAAAAAGCATCCCTCTTCCATGGCCGTATAAAACCATTGTCATTCTCTGCCTTTAACATTAGCACATGCCAAATATTTTCAACAAATTGGTGTTAGAACCTTGGTAAATCTGTCCTAAGTAGCTGGGAGTATTGAAAAGAGTAAGAAAAGAGATTTGCCAAAAAGCTAGCAGAAAGAGGAACAACATTAGGGCCTTCTTACAAAAAGGTTTTGGTTGATTGTCCCAATGTCTGAGAAGTGAGAAGTAATTCTTTCCAACTATAAGAGTTGGAGTGTTCAGACCCACACAAATTGTACCAAGTATTGGTACTAAAGAACCAAATACTATACCCACTAGAGGAAGAAAAATGGTGGAGCAAAGGCTCTAGAGAATATGCAAAGGGGCTTGCACCTTGAGATATTGAATGAACAAAATTTGGTAATCTCTCCACAAGTTTGAGTGATGCTTGAGTTAATCTCTTGAAATTATGTAAATTTGTTATCTTTTGTCATAGTATATTGTATGGGTAATCTGAAAGATAAGTTTCTTCAGAGACTCTTGTTGATGTCCAAATGGCATACTAAAAGATGAGGAGGGTGAGAAATTGGACAAGGAGGAAGTTGTTGAGCTCCATGACACCAATGATAGAGAGGTCTTTCAAAGTAAAAAGGGTAATGGCACACCAAGGGGCCGGAACTTTTTCTCAATGTTCAATATGGTCCTCCCTTTTTTTGTTGAATTGAGTATCTAGTCTTTCCAAAATTGGCTGAATTTCAAAGTTCTATGAAGTTAAGCGCCATATGACATAGAACGTGGTTGACTGTGTCATGTTTTCCTAACTCAGCAGAGAAAAGCCTTTTTTTGTTTGTTTTTCTTCTTCTTACTTGCTTCAGCTATGACTAGTGACCACCACCACTGTCATTGCTATGCCTAACCACTGTGCCTTACCGCCATCACCTCTCTCTCTCTCTCTCTCTCTCTCTCTATATATATATATAATGCCAAGGTCTCCTCTATCTTAGTGCCTGTATCTATCTCTGGCCGACTTTCAACGATGGTTGCTACCCAAAATCTGAGGTTGTGGCCCCCTCAAACCTGTCAAAGACAATGATGGTGGTCATGGCTGAGTTTTGGTGGTGATGTTTGTGCTGTTGCTGGTGGTGGCGGTGGTAGTAGAGTTCTATGCAGCTGTTTGTGCAAGTGGTATCCGCCGCAGCGGCTATAGCTTTGTCTAATACTCTAGTGGTGCTTGTGCTAGTGATGGTGGCCGTTTTGAGTCCATGGTGATGGTGTTTTACGGTAGCAATGAGTGGTGGTGAAGGTGCATCGTGGTGGGGGAAGTAGCACTGGTTTTGTTTATGTTACTGGAAGATGTGTGTCTGTGCGTGTTTGCGTACGAGAGAGAGAGAGAGAGAGAGAGAGAGAGAGAGAGAGAGAGAGAGAGAGAGAGAGAGAGAGAGAGAGAGAGAGTGACGTCAGTTAGTGCGGTTAAGACTGAACATGACATTGGTCAATTTTAGAAAGTTCAGGTACTTGATTAAATAAAGAAAAAAAAGTTGAGGTAGCACATTGAATTTCGGGCAAAATTTTGAGCCCTTGTGGTTTCATTACCCAAATATGTAGATGAGATAACTGAAATATAAAAGTTGGAATGGCAACACTATATTCAAATCCTACTCTCTTTTGATATCCTATCAGCATTTATAAATTGTAAACCAATTAGGTAGCAAATCTTCATCGAAGTTCAAGACTCCTGCTTTGTTAAAGAAATAGAAAGAATAGAGGTGAAGCATGCTCAAGGTTGAATAATTAAGAAGCTATCTTATGCATGCAATGCAGAACATTATTCTGCATTTTGCAGAGAAGCCATTCCATGATATTCCTGTATTTCAAGAATTTGGCGTGGAGATTGTTGCAATTGAAAGAGATGAAGCATTTTATCTGAAAATGTGGAAAAAAATTTAGTTTATGGGGGAGGGTTGAAAAAATTATTAAACTTGATATTAATGATTATCATATATAAATGGAACTTCCTTCCTATTGAAGTTTGAGGAGTGAAAATTATAATTTAGTATATCTAATTTCATGATTATATAAGTTAGAGTTCTAATAAATAGACAGAGATGATTGCAGTCTATGAATAGGGGTATTGTATTGGATGCTGTTCAAAGGAATAAATAGTAAGTTTTAGAAACAAAGGCAATGCTCTCCCATTAGAGTTTGACACCACCATCATTTCCTCTTCCTCTTATCTTTAGTTGCCCATCAACCCAAATAATCCCAGGGTTAATGTTGCAAAGCTTCTTTTCATGTAGGACTGAATTGTATTGCGTTTTGTTTGCAGTTTGTAGTATATCGAATTTTTGATCACATTATTCCCCTTTCTGATAAGTAATGCTTTTCTCACTTAATTTTTTAAAAAAATGACTTTTGCCTCTGCGATTGTATGGTTAATAGAAAAATATTGTTACTTGAGCATCGCATTTTATATCCTATTTATATTAAGAGACAGCACTTGTGGCCGAGCCTTGAGATTTCTCTCCTCTTTTTCTCTTTTCAACAAAACATAGCATTTGAGATCGTGTGTTCCCAATGCGCATTACCTACCACCTCATTTATAATCAACTTCCATACTTTTTTGCTCTCTCAAAATGTTGTTTAATGTTTAAGAGGTTTTATCGTTTAAATATCATAACATGTCTTTGTCTCCCAGCTTAAGTTTTTAAAAATTGTTAACGAGTCCTACAAAATTCTACTACCCTATTTAAGTGTGAAGACTCATGAATTAAACCCCGTCCCCTCTCCATCTATGGTTTCTAATGAGTAAAGAACAGGATTACTGCAGTTTGCATTGTCCACTTAGTGGAAATTACCCAGTGTGTTACCCATAATGGAGTTATCTAGAGTGCTAACCCAGGCATTGTTCATTAAATGACGAGTGTCGCACATATATGTACTCTCTCCTTAAATATGGTTGCTTGCCTTCCAGAGGATTTGTGTATTAGGAGTGTAGCCTCTGGGCCAATACCCTCAGAGATTGGAGGAAAGCATCTGGGCCTGTCAGTTTGTTGATCTTCAACTTGTAAATGGGCAGTACCTGCTAATAGATGCCATAATTGTTGATCTGAAATCTTCGAGATAAGGATACCTTTATAATTAGTGTACTCAGAAATTGATTTACGGAACTGGTCTTGCCTCGTTCAGGAGCTTTGACTTCCACTCCATCTCACGGTTATTCATTTTGACTTTAATATAGCAAGTGTTAAATATAAAAGCAATCCTCTTCCACTAGAGTTTGATACCACCATCATTTCCTCTGTTCCTCTAGCTTTAGTTGCCCATCCACCCAAACAATCCCAGAGTTAATGTTGGAAAGCTTCTTTTTATGTGGGACTGAATTGTAATGCATGTTGCTTGCATTTTGCAGTTTATCAACTTTTGATCACATTATTCCCCATTCTGATAAGTAATACTTTTCTCACCTATGATTTTCTAAGAAATGTCTTTTCCACTGTGATTGTGTGGCTAATTGAAAAATATCATTGTTTTTGCATTGCATCTTATATTCTATTTATAGTAAGAGACAGCACTTGTGACTGTGCCTTGACATTTCTCTCTTTTCTTTTTCTCTATTCAACAAAAACATTGTGTTTGAGATCGTGTGTTTCCTATGCCCTTTACCTGCTACCTCATTTATAATCAGCTTTCACTCTTTTTGCTCTCTCAAAATATCATTTCATGTTAATGAAGGGGTATCGTGATATCATGTCTTTGTCTACCGGCTTAAGTTTTTAAAATTGGTTATTAGTCCCACATAATTCTACAAACCCTATTTAAGTGTGAAAACTCATGAAATAAACACCTTCCTCTCTTCATCTATAGTTTGTAGAGAGATATGTAAAGAACAGGATTACTGCAGTTTGCGTTGTACCCTTAGTGGAAATTACCTGATATGTTACCCACTATGGAGTTATTTAGAGTGCTTACCTAGGCATCATCCACATAATGACGAGTTTCGCAAGTACATGTATTCACTCCTTGAATATGGTTGCTTGCCTTCCAGAGGATTAGTGTGTTAGAAAGAGTGTAGCCACTGGGCCAATAAGCTCAGAGATTAGAGGGGAAACATCTGGGCTTGTCAGTTTGTTGACCTTCGACTTGTAAATGGGCAATCCCTGCTTATAGATGCCTTAATTGTTGACCTGAAATTTTTTGAGATAATGATACCTTTATAATTAGTGTACTCAGAAATTGATTTCAGTAACTGGTCTTGCCTCTCTCAGTAGCTTTGACTTCCACTCCATCTCATGGTTACTCATTTTGACTTTTAAAACTGGGCTCTTATTCTTTAAGTTGGAACGGTGCTCTTGTGGCTTCCGGTGTCGGAAACTCACTGGCAAGTTATGATTGCTCATATTGCCTGTTTCTTACATTATAATGCGAAACTCAACGATTATAATACCAATGTGGTCATACAAATGAAAGCATTGTTGCATATGTAAATTGCAAATCAATTCATTTTGGGTTTTTCATGTATGTGGAGTTGTTAGTGGCATCACGCTTTGTGTTTGTAGTTTGCAGAGATGATACATTGTACGGAGAGATCTCTTTGCTTGAGTACTGCTTGGGTATCTTTGGTGGACAGCTAAGTTGTTGAGCTTTTGTTTGAAGGTGCGAAGGGCTCCGCTCTCTCTAGATGCCTTAATCGTTGATCTGAAAGCTTTGAGATAATGATACCTTTATAACTAGTGTACTCAGAAATTGATTGAAGTAACTGGTCTTGCCTCATTCAGGAGCTTTGACTTCCATCTCATGGTTGCTCATTTTGACTTTCAAAACTGGGCTTAATTCATTAAGTTGGAACTGAGGTCTTGTGGCTTCCGGCACTGGTAAGTAATAATTGCTAATATTTCTTGTTTCTTACATTATAATGCGAAATTCAATTATCATAATACCAATGTGGTCATACAAATGAAAGCATTGTTGCATATGTAATTGCAAATCAATTCATTCTGGGTTTTTCAATGTCTGTGGAGTTGTTACTGGCATCATGCTTTGTGTTTGTAGTTTGTAGAGATGATACATTGTACGAAAAGATCTCTTTACTGAAGTACTGCTTAGGTATCTATGATCGACAGCTGAGTTGTTGAGCTTTCGTTGAATGATGTGAAGGACTTTGCTCTCTCTAATTGACAGCTCCACGTTGTTAAGCTTTTGTTTGATGATAATATGGAAATATCATGCGAGTTAATCCCTTTGGGATGTGGGAACATTCAAATTACCATTCATCACTGAGCCTATGGAGATCTCATTTGGCTTCCTTGATCTTCCGCATCATGTCTTCTTCTTGGCATTTTTTGCCCATTTGCGCCACTGTTTTCTATGATTTCCTCTCTCTGTACATTTGATAGAATGGCTTTCTCATGAGGATTTATATTTGTGTATTTTATCCTATTGTCTACCTAACTGGCAATTTTTTACTTAATTTAGGCATAATCTTACTCTATTAGATAACCAGGAAATAAGCAGGGAACATGTCTTCTTGATTCCCTTCAGTATGCCAAGAAAGTTTGACTTACATTGAAGCCCGTGCATTGTTGTCTTCGTGAAGTTGTTATTTGAAATGCTTCTATATGCTTATCTTTTGGCCAAATATTATTTGCATATGAACATTCAAAATGCTAGCTTTTCATTGACATAATATTTCATTGCAATTGGAGATCTTCAAAACTAGAATTCACAAGAGAAAGTCCACCTTTTTTCTTAATGCTGCTGATTTTACCTTTACATAAGTCCTTGTCATGATCCCACAATTCTACACTTTATTCCATTGATAATTTCAAACTAGAGCTTGTTTGCTTGATAATTTGTGATATACCACATCTCAGTTATAGAAGCTTAACTTTGGTGAGCCGGCCTGGTGTTGAATATAACTGAGTGACATCCGTTGCAGTCCATGCTTCCTTGCTAGTGCAGCTGTAGTCTGCTGCATATATGAAGAGAGATTTTCTTATAGTTAGACATGTCAAAATAAAAAGTCTTATTTGCCGAAATTGATGCATTTTTGGAGGATTACGTACCCCAAGTTTGTGGCTCGTGCTGTAGTTTCGTAGTTTTGTTGCTGTGGTTGGCTAAGTTGGAGATGAACAGGTACATGAGAGTCCTCTCCGATTCCTAATCCATTTGTCAGAAGATTTCTGTTTGTTCCATTCACATCTCTCGTTCCATAAACCTGGAATGAAAAGTTTTCTATCTAAGGCTAAATATAGGGCTCTGACAACATGATACTATTGATTGGTTCTAGATTCTCAACTGGACAGCAGATATTTCATCTCTTATTATCCAAATCAATACCTTCTTATACAATTCCACGTTTTCTTGACGAACGAGGTTTACCTTCTTATACAACTCCACATTTTCCTGATGAATGAGACTTCCCTGAAGAGAGAGTGGTATTTAGATAATTGAACAAATATGGAAGTGACCACGAATATATGTGATTCAGCGTAAACCTTTCTGTTGAGTTCTTGTATTTCATCCATTAGTATTTCGTCCTGCAATCCACAGACCTCATATTTATCATCTTTTGCACTAGAAACTATGAGAACAAGCATTTAATTGGGGATAGGACTTCAAACCTTTTTCATTCGGACACCACGAAGACTCATTTCCAGTTGGTTCTCCAAATTCTGTAGATCTTTGACGGTTAATCCCGAGAGCTCTTCTCCCATCAGTTGCCTATTTTATGTTGGTTGTTTACAATTAAAATTTGTATACAAGGTTCAACAAATCTGCTAGAATAACACAAATGCAAGAGAGAGAATTTTTCTTCTAGATGCCTCTCTTTTTACTGAAAAATCTTACCTGTCTACAGTGCAGTGAACCATTCAAAAACACTCCTTTATTAACTGTTATGTTGGATAATTTGTTTGTCACATATGTTGTCAGGAAAAGCCATAGCACAAATGGTTAAGCATGTGGTTGACACTCTAACAGGGCAAGGATTCAAATCCCTACCCTGCAATTAACCCAGTTAGATTTTTTCATGGTCAAATCTGTTTCAAAGTGAAACTGATTCACTAGTTTGACATTTCTTGATCCTGGTCAAACCCAGCCGTTTACCAGTTCTACGTTCTCACATTATAATGGCATGAACCAGAAATTCAACCAGTGCTCTGTCTTGCTGGTTGAATTGGCCACAAGTCTGGTTTAAACCATCGGTATGTAGAGAATACAAAGAGGCCTTGAACAAGAGAAATGGTAGGATATTAGCTGACTAGGTTGATGGGCTAAAACTACTCTAACAGGATGCAATTCCCTTTTTTCAATGGTCACTGACCTATCATGTCCTATTTCAATTAGGAATGAAGTTCCTATCTTTTGGTTACCGTCAAGATTACAATGAAGGCAAGCCTAGACATGAGTTGTTGGCTCTTTTGTTTTTTTGATCTTATTTCTATTTCCTTAATTGTCTAATCTTAACTGAAAATTTCCTTGGTAGATTAACTTAGTGGGTAATAAATGTACCTATGATTTTCTTGCAAGCTTTGCAGTTGTTGCCTCAATGCTGCTGCTTCCCTTTGCCAAAGCTAGAGAATGGATGCATCATACGCGTTAGTTACATGGCAAAATATGTGTGACAAACATGCCTAAGCTTATGTAGTTCACATTACTGTGTACATAGCTGTAAAAATAAAATGATGATGGCTTCATCGAATCACAATGGTATTACAGGATAATGATGGCGATGTTTTAAACTGTTATGAAATTACTGGTCAAATATGAAGGAAATACTTGGTGAAGACTTTCGCTGTGGCAGCATATGTGTTACGTAGGATATGAATACTTCGATGCGTCAAGTTTGTTAAGTTTTTGCAAGATTTTTGATAATTCGAAGTTGAAATTTTTTAGAACATAGTAACACATGCCATTGATTCTGACTGATATATACATAGTGCAACACTTCTGCATGGCATGAGTTGTCTTGTGTAGCATTTTGTTGATCTAGTTGGTATAGAAATGCATACAATTCCATGGGTTTTTGATAGATGATGATGCTACTAGTATTTAATCCAACTGCCCAAAGTTACTGCCAGCAATCAACCCCTATGCTGACTGTGGCAAACTATAAGGAAAAGATGAGCATAAAGCTCTATATGACACTTAAAATGCAAGAAACCCTTGTCACTGTGCTTGTTCACTTAGCTGCTTCTGAAATGACAAATACAGAGTAGGAACACGATAAGGATGATTCTATAGGGATTGCTTTTAAAGTTTGATAATAACTATCAATGCCAGGAGTTTTTATGTACTTCAGGTCGTGTCTGAAATAGATATTGGCATCCACACCAATCTTAAGTTACATTAAATAACTTTGAATATCATTGTAATCAACCTTTATAAGTTGCCTTGGACCATTGTAAAATTTGTCAATTGAAGTTTCTTTGGCTTTTCATCCTCAATGTGTAATCATCCCCTCTGCTCCACTATTCATGTACTGGGCTCTATTTTTCAAGTTAGAGAGGAGTTATGGGCTTGAAGTGGATTGGACTAGATAGTCAAAAGAAAACGGATTTCCATAATGATACCCTGTCCATTTGTTGGTTGAATTAAGGGGTAATATTGAAGACCTTTTTATCGTATAGTTTGGGGAATTCATTCTGTAAAGTATATTTCATTAGGCTCAAATCACTTGTAAATGATTTGTATGATGGCTCAATTATGATATGTTGCTTCAGAATTGACAATACCTCTGTTATGTGCACCGGTTCCACTGATACACAATAAATCTAGTTGATCTTATAATTCACTTTCAACTGTCGAAATTTCATGCTGCAAATACATTTGTTCTAGCTGTCTAGCTGTCAGTTTTAGATAACTTTCTAGCAATAGATTCCTATAAAATATATTTGGAACATCCGTGCATCTTGTGGTCATTCTACATATGCATACAAGCAACTGCATGATCTTTAGTACATGTACAGGTCCTAAAACTGGATAAAGGTTGGGGCAATAATAGGGGTCTTACGTTGGGATACCTTCAAGTAAGTTAACAGCCTGCGTGGTTTAGTTTCAGTTCGTTTACCGACTTTTTTAGGCTCTAACAGCTGGTAATTTATGGCAAAGATCTTTTTCTGGCTGATATGGCGAGATCCTAGAAAGCAGACAAGAAGATTTAAGTAGGCTGCTGTTAATGAAAATTCTAAGCTTATCTACAGATCAGTTGTCCTTTGAAATAATTGTTCTGGATAGATCATACTACACAAGATCCTCTCAAGTAATAGTTAGATTACAAAGGTAACGCATTTACATTTTTCTGTATACAATTCAATTCAGATAATAAAGGTAATTATTGGTTAAATTATTCTATATGCAGATCAATAACTGAAATATAATCTGTATAGCATGACTTCTATGTTAATATCTCTCAATATCATAACCCTGTGAGGCTTGTCAACAGATTTGGTCTACTTAGCGCCTCTTGTTCTTCTTCCTTCCCCTCTTTGCTATGCTTGACTCTTTTCCTTAGTTTTTCTCTGAGTTTACTACTTGATTTCATGCAGCTTCATGGTCCTTTTTCATCTATCCGACTATATTTGGGGATTGATAGTTGTAACTACAATTTCCTTTTTTTATACTCTGTTGGCCCTTCCTATCTCAGCTGTCGCTAATCATTTAAAGATCTGGCTCTTGAAATGCAGCAGAGTTGTGCTACACAATACCCGACCATCCTACAGAAATGAATGTGTGGTGCTGTGGTATTGTATTGTTTGAAACTACGATTAATGGGTAAAAGAATACCTTAACTTCAGAGGTTGGATTTCCCAGCTGATGGTGATCCCCTTTTGATTTGTTGTATCTCTCAATTATTGATTTCATGCTGGAGCAGCAGATACAATCATGTCAGAAATGCAATCTTGCCAGAAACAGCATAGCAAAAATTAAGTGGAGATGCTGAATGTGATGTGCTAATGAGGAACAGTTGCTCAGTTTGGTTTAATATACTTTTAACTGCTCAGTAACAGGTTCTCTTCTCCAATTATTTTTTTGTGCTTAGGTACATTCATAGGATGTCCGACCAACAGGTCATTGGAGTCAATTTGAGACAGCAGGTTATTAATGTCTGTCAATTATAGCTCGATAACGATGTGTGGAGGAGAAAAAAGTTGAAGATAAGTACATCCTTTTGTCTTTACTTATAGTATCTGAATTCAGTCTTGTGAATTTCCCGTATGCTCTTGTATTCTTGCCTATCCTTGAAGACTTTGACATAAAACAAAAAAAATTCAAAATAAAGTATCTTAGTACATCCCCTTTGAATTTTTGCTCATATTCCTCAGGACACTGCATTCAAAGACATGCATACCGAGATGAACTTTTAAAATACATGCATTCAAAGCTTTTATGGGTGTCATCGATTTCTCACTATTGCAAATCAGTTGTGAAGAGAACTAAATACCAGTGTTTTCAGAACTGGACCTATTTGCCCATGTGGTCGGTTCAACCGGTGGAACCGCTAGTTTAATTTTTCTGTACTTTAAAAAGAGTTGCTGACGTACGTCATATGTGGAAGCTTATCTATGTGGTTAAAAGCACTTCAAATTAGTAGATTTGATCCTTGGTACGCTGCAATCACTTTTTATGCTTTGGCTTGTCAGTAAGCAGTAAGTATTCTTGTCTCACATTAAAAAAGTAAGAGCGATCTGTGGCCCAGTGGCAATGACTAGCATATGCGCTTGAGGTTACTGTTTCAAACCTGGAGCATGCAGCTTGTTGCTTTTTTAACAAAAGACCAGTTCTGACCCAGTCCTGACCCAGTTCAATTGAAGTGGGTCAACATTTGTTCAGTCCAGTCCGCTATTGGACCATTAGCAGTTTTACTAGCTTGAACCATGACAGACAATGAAACGGTTCCTCCCTGCTCTAACTGGTTGAACAGGTCAGACTGGCCTGGTTTTGAAACACTGCTGGAAAGAGTTTAGATGCATGTTTGCATTTGCTAATGGCTGACGGTTAATGATTACTGTATGGAATAAATCAGTTATGTCATTTGAAATAGGGAGAACTATGCCTAAAATTGTGCTGAAGTGAGGATGGCAGGAACCATTTGCTATTTGTAGAATGGATAGCTAATTGAAACTATGCCTAAATTGTGCTGTACTTGCTAATTGAAACCATAGAGAATCTTTGGGAATAAAAATTTTGATCTTGTTGTGGACATGGATGATATTAAAGGAGTGGATGATCATAAATGCTCGGTGTCTGCTGGTGCTTAATATCAAGACATTTGGTTTACAAATTGCCTATAGAAACCAGAATCAGTGGATTGCAATGTATTGGTGCTTTGAAGAGTAAATGCTCTCAAGAGAGAGAACATGACACCGTTATCACCTCTATACAGAGTGGAGTGTATGTCCTTGGAATGACTTAAGTTGGTGGTACTTTTTGCATTTCTGCACTCTATCAATCACCCCTTTACTTCCCAAATTATGAAAAAGTTAATCTGTGTGGTAATATAACAAATGTAACAATTATCAAATGCTGAATGAATCTCTGAATTCTTGCACCTTCATAAGAGGCAGTTATGACTAGCTTTCTCTTCACTTCCCATCATATGACAAGATCCACCAGGCTTTGGGTATTATTAGCATACGATCTTGGTTGGTGCGATTATAAGGGTGGGGATATGTGCAGCAGGTGTTAAGAGAGGATGCTTTCATACTTTTATTTCCTCCATAAATAGTTAAGAGGTTATCTTCCAGATGGTTTTGCATCTGTGCCTTGGAGATAGTAAATACTTGAATGTCATAAAGTTGAGAACTGCAATGATTAATCTATTGAAAGAATTTGCCATTATTAGGAATAGTCACTGTGAAAGTGAGCTTATATTGATGGTGCAGCGTTAGAGAAAAACTTAATTAGGTGTGCGATGTCCAGTGCAAACTGCAGCACTCACCAGTCACCACAGATAAAACTAAGAACAAAGGAAGAGTATGCATAACAGGCAACATATGCATTGGGCACCTTTTACTAGGATGCATTAACCTCTTTGGACTGTATAGAAGCTTTCAGCAGCTCCATTATATCACTTTGGGGATGCAATCCATAGAGGGGAGTCAAATCTTTAGTCTCCTAACATCTTGTTTGCCTAATGCTGACAATGGAGTCATGGCTGGCAAATCTACTTCTCCTCGCCTTGTTTCTGAGTAATCTTCACCTTACATGTGTGTTTAGTTCATGCCTACTTTCACTTGTCAACAAACAACTTTTCAAGAAAACCACATAAATGTTAACAACCTGAATGAGGTTACTGTTGCAATGTGACCAACATCTTATCCTGACGTGCCATTAACGATAATCTCTTTTTCAAATGCTTTTCTGCATTGTAATGCATGCCTTCATCTACGCTCTCCTCAACTGAAATATGAGGCCTAATCTGAGCTGCAATTGATGATTATTCCTTTAAATGTTTTTCCTGTGCTATATCTTTCAATAGACTGCATGACAGACCAAGCCATTAGATCATCAACTTCGATACCACTTCAGCTTTTGATGGAAATCGATTATCTTGGGTTGGGAAGTCAAATTGCCAAGGATTTTGACACCAGGTTTTCTCAAAGTCTGCAAAAGGTTTCTAGTGGAAATCCAACAACTCAAAATAGAGTCAATGCCAAGCCTTAACATTCTGACCGATTATAGGTAGAAATGATAACTTTTTGACGGTTTTACTAAGATTCTACACCCTGTGAGCAGAAGGAAGGAGGTGGAACACCATGTTGATGGAAGCCCTCTTTCCACAGCCTGTGGGCAGCTGCCAATTTCTTGAATCAGAACTCTATACTTAGAACCATCATGCAGAGCAAGATATGCATCTTTAAATCACTTTAAAGCTTAGATCAATGAATGGAAAGAAAAAGGGGATCAAGGCAGTTCATTTTCACTTCGGTTAGTTTATTGTGGTCTGGTCATGGCTTGGGACAAGTGCTATTGTAGTCTTCTCCTACGGTAGCTGCAGATTCTGTACCAAACTATGTTCAGAGGGCAACACAGCCGACTTGTTTTCGAATAAGGTCAAAAACAAACCCGGGTTGGTTATCTGTTTTACTTTTATAAGGCAACCAATGTGCAGGTGTTGACTTATTATGGTGTTGCATCTGGTCATGATAGTTGAAATGTCCACACTCTGGTAGGTGGTTTACGTTCTGCTTCTATTGGGAGACAACAGGTGCATCTTTTCTTGGGTTTTGTGCCATTGTGGCATATTGCAAGTTCTATACCAGGAAAAAAAATCACATCATTAAATTATTTTACAGTGCTGATGGTAACAATTTTCGTCATTTTGGTTAAATTGAAAACACAGGTTCTCAGGGTGGAGGTGTGTTTTGCTTGCATTTAGAAGAGATTGCTCTTTGATAGTGGTTCGTGCCTGTGATGTGACAATTCCACCCATTGAAAGTTCACCTTGACAGAAGCAATGGGAAGTTCAAATCACGCACTGAAAAGAAATGTCAAGGCATGGCTACCTTCCAGTTGGAGTAAATTTCTGACATCTACTCTTCTTTTCTACTTCTTCTTTTGTGGTAGTAATTGGTGCAAACCTTTACGTTCAGGGTAATATTTTCCAAATTCTATCTCATTACTAAGTCCAATGCGGGCTTGACGTGTTCTACAACTCTAGTTGACCAGTGATTTTAATGTCATTGGAGTAGGTCTGTCCTGATGCTAATGATTTTATGGAGTAGGTTACAATTTTGGGGGAGTTAGTCTTACTAGATATTATGGTGTTTTAGTTAACTGGGTATAGTGTTGGTATATAATTGTTACTGTGTTGGTTAGTAGTTATTATGCTCACAAGGATTTCCATCATTATGGAAATTTGATAGTTGGTTGTTGATAATGCATTACATGGCACTGCATCTATCTTGCTACTAAATGTAGTGTATACAATGTGAAGAAGCAACAAGTCTGGGAAAATGAGCACAAACAAATGGGCTTGTGCACTTTAACGCTTATGACATTTGAGTGGTCTTTGAACTGGAAGAAGCTCTTTGGCTTGTTTGGGAAAAAGGAGGGGAGGTGGAAAATGAAATTGGGTTTGAAAATTGGGGAAAGTTTGAATATTTTGGGAAGCAACTATGAGAGTGATAAGTTAGGGAAAACTTTGCAAAGCGGTTTGCATTTGTGAAGTTTTGAGTTAAGCAGATAAGTAGCTGCGTTTAATTTTGGGCCTTGAAAAGATAGGCTAAGGGCTCAAAGAGGTCAAAATAACTTTTACCAAATTCAAACTTTTAGTCAAATGGCTTTGAGAGTCTAAAGCTAGTATTTAAAGTCTTTCCAATCTCTGCCTAAGCTCGTCAGAACCTAAATCCAAATGCTTTTGTGATGCTATCTGTCGACTGTGTCAAATGTTAGACATGATAAAGGCTTAGTTGGTAAAGATCAGTCTAGCTGTAGTTGTGCTTGAGCCTCACCGGCTCTTCGCCAGTTGAACAAGAAGGGAAGAAGGGGAGGAACAGGAAGGAAAAAAATTGACTTTTGAATGCCCAGTAGTGACATGTTGATGTTGGACGTCACACTTACCATTTAAGGTTCAAGGAAGTATAAGACATTGCAAATAGTATCCTCATGAGAGTTGGGACATACCTAAGCTCCATTTATGTAGGGTGCATTTAGTAAAACATTGCAAATAGGATCCTCACATTTCATACAATCTCTACAATCACTTTCTCTTCAGTCCCTTTTGCTAAACTACGACATGACATATGTAACCAAGAAAGCTAAAACAATGACTTCCCTTCACAGCCTAGGTGCTCGTTTTTATGCACTGAACCTAGATGATGGAATTCCCTGGGCCCTATTCACTCTGTTCCTCTGCTTGAAAGGCAAGTTGAATTAGTAAGGTGTTCCATCGATTCACACAAAAGAACTTCTAACTGGCCATTTCATCCCATTGAAGCTATCGATCCAAATCCAATCTAGATGCATCAACTTATGGTTGGTTCTATTTTGCTCTCTCCAATCATTCTACTAAGGCATTTGATTCTATGTCACTCAATAGAGGGGAAAATCCAAGACGATTAAATTTAGGACCTATACTTCAATTAGAGGCACAAAGAAGACCAGTACAATAGCACAAAAGTATCCATCACACATAATACAGTGTCAAGCATTTGATAACGAAGGTGTAGAAGCTCTTTACACCTTAGAAAGAGGCGTTTAGGCCATCTTCTTTGCTTAGTGTAATTACTAGTCTGGGAGAAGGGATGCTCTGTTTTTAGAAGGCTATCTATGTAAACAACATGAAAAGTTAGAGAATGAAATTAGGCTGGATTCTGAGGCGACAGAAACTCAATATGTATGATTTAGAGGTCGAATTACTCATTCATTTACAGGTGTTATGATTGTATAAAAAATATGGATCTATGAAAAGTGGTTTGTTGAGCAAGACATGTTTTGTTTGAGTGGCACGTCATATTTTTCCTTTTTCTTTTAAATAAGGTTTTGTACTGATCTGAATAATTGATCGTTCCACCGAGGGTTAAGGATTGGCTGTGTTCTAGTTCTGGCCATGAAACAGTCAATTCTATGTAGGAATTGAACAGATTGGGTTTAATAGCCCTGGAGCTAGTTGCTAACATGATTTAGAAGAAGTAAAAAGTTTAAACAAAAAAATCACCGACTCTGATGAGAAGTCCTCATCGACCACTTAACGCATGAACACCAGCAGTTGTTGTTATCTAAAAATGGCTACTAAAGAGTCTGACAAGCTAAGTAAAAATCTAACCAGAGCAGGTTGTGATGAAAATTCAAGCACCTCAAATTTGATTGATGTCTTGCCGAGTCATTTGCAGGACATCGACCAAAATTGGAATTCTCTTCACCTCAAGAAAGGGAGACAAATATATGGTAATCAAATAATGAGAACAAACAACAGGTCATCAACATACATTTGGTGCGAGTTTGAAGGGCAGGTGTATGATATGTAAATGACATGCATGTACCTTCTCTTGAAGTAGAGATTCTGATTCTCTTCTCTCAATTGAGTTCCCCTATCATTAAGATATAAGAGTTTGAAAATGTGAAAGTAAAACTTTTTATTGGGCTATATTTTCTTCTATCACTAGTTGGCTGAAGTTCTCATTATTAGGAAAAATCCCTATGGTGCTTTGAGAATGACAAAACATTCTAAGTAAACTAGCATATGCTAGTGTGTAGAAGATATTACCTCTACTTACACAGATTTATATGCAGATGGTGTTAGTAATAGGACGCTTAAGAGTGTAGAACTATATTTGCTCTAGAGAAGGTGAACAAGCTATCGAACGTGAGCTATGTTGAAGACTAGATGGACCTTGCAAATTGAGAATTAGTTATTGGAGGAATATGTTGATGTTTGGGATTGTGAACAAACCAGATGATGTATGATTGTCAAAAGGATTTGGATTGACCATCGGAAGGTGAATGAACTAGAGGACATGAAGATGTCAATAAACTTAGATGGACCTTGCCAATGGTTAACAACCTAGAGGGCATGTGATCATGGAAGAGTTTGGGTAGACCAAGTAGAAGGTGAACATTCTATAGAACATAAGGACGTCAATATGCTTGAATGAATTTAAATGGAGGAGGAGAACAAGCCTGGGTATATAAAAGCTTGGATGGACTTGACTGCAGACGGTGCTGTTGCTAAGAGTTGTGATTCTGCTATGAGCCTCTATAATCCTGGAGGGAAGATCCAGACTCTTTATCAATTTGATTTGAATTCAATTAATGTTTTTTAGTAGGTTGTTGGATTCCACAAAAAGTGGACTTGAAAAGAACAATTTACCATTTTTGGGCAGGCACCCTAGAATGATAGAATGCTGGCGAAGCAGAACTGACTATTTTGAGAAATTGTCGCTTCAGAGCTGTAGAGTGACATTTTGCGATTGCAGATAGTAGAATTAACGGCTACTCATGGGATTTGAATTTCAAGTGGTCATTTGAGATTTCATGGCTATAAATATAACCCAAGAGATATAATACACTTGAGTGTTCATCTTCTTGTTGTCCTTGTGTGTAGAAGTAGTGTACATATGATTGTATTTGTCTGAAACAAAAATAAGATAAGAAAGTGTTCGGTGTCGTTAGGATTGCTTGTGTTATGTAAAGGGAGATCTATAAGTAGAAGGAAGTATCTTCAAATGTTGTGGCATCTCAAGGATAAATAGTGAACTCCACCTCTGATTTGCTGTTAGAACTGGGAGAGTGGAGTAGAAGATTACTGTTTCTGTATACACGATTGTTTTTGGAACACCAATGCATGTTCTATACACAGTCCAATACTTTTAGTGAATTTTTTTTTTGAATTTCCTTAGATAACCAATTCACCCCTTATTAGTTGTTTTTGTCTAATCCATTTATTATCCTCGAACATGCCTATGATTGGTGGGTTATAAATCATGGATATTACTCACAAACAAACTTAACTAAATAAAAATGTGTGTAATGTGCATAACTTCTAATTCACCAATCAAAAGATTGATTAGAGAAAAAGTGGCCATTTTGCATTGGCCTTTTCCTAGTGATCAAGGGAAAGAAAGTTAGAAATAAGAAAGATTCATGGAAGCTAGTTATTATGGGAAAGAAAGGCAGATATAAGAGAGAACTTATTGAGCTTCCCTCCTGCATTTTGGTCTCTGTCATTATTCTTTTTTATCCTAATAATTAAGGGCACAGGTGTGGAGAACCTTATCCAGAGCAGATTATACACGATTGGTGGGATTTGAACAAGTGACATCCAATTCATGAAGAAAAAATCTTCCAACACTCTTAACTAATTGCGCCAACCTTGAGGGGTTGTTCTTTTTCATTGTTCTCGTCTTTAAAATGATTCTCTAACAAAAATAAATCAATTAAAATTGGGTTAGTGATTTTATTGAAATTCATCTATTGATTTGTTTGGTAGGTCCTCTCTCTCTCTCTCTTCCTGGATGTAAATGTGCTCTCTAGAAAGTTGGCCAAGTTAAATAGATACGTATAGTGCCACATTTGTTATGGACTTATTTTTTTCCATGTAATAACTGGAGATCTATCCCTTCCTTCTCTTTGTCCCACCAATTTGAGCGACTCTACGATTTTCAGTGAAGTCCGTAAATAAGCGTTTTTTGATCCATTCCTTCCCTCCTCGTTAAGTGAGGATTCATGCAAGTTGATCAATATGTAGATGGTAAATATGTTTATGATGTATCCTCTCGATCAATATTCGAGAGAGCCAATAGTTTGCACGTATGAGGAATGACATATGCAAAGGCCAAAGGTGTCGAGGTTGCCTATCTATTGGTGTGAAGGAGAAAACAATGGTTATATTAATGAGTTCTAGAAAAAATTATATGCTTATACAATTAATGTTACCATGTCTAAAGTACATTCATGACAAGAAAAATCTTTATATATATAACAATGCCGAAAAGTTATAAGCATAAAATCGATAGAAAATTACGTGGTTGAGATGAGATTGTTTATAAGATTTGTGGATGCTTTCGAAGGCATATCAAAACAAATGAGCGGGTAAGAGAAATTGTCCGTAGACTCCAACCAAAGATAAGGTGATAGAAAGATGCGGATGCTATTGAAGCAGTGATCTTCACGAGTTATTTTGTGAGTAATGACAGTTTTGCCTTATCTATCGTTCTCGAATAATTTTTATGAAAAAAAAAAAAACAGGGGAAGAAGTAGTGCAACATCAAGCTCATTAAAAGGGTAAAAATTTTCAAATGAAAAATAGACATTTCAATGAAAATACTTTTCATGATGAAGAAGATGCAATTTGGAAATGACTCCTCTCAAATTGGTCGAACATTAGAATCCCCCAACTCAATTGAGGGGGCTACTATCACAGCTTATGTAGTCAATTATGCGGATGCTATTGAAGCAGTGATCTTCATGAGTTGTTTTGTGAGTAATGACAGTTTTGCCTTATCCATCTTTCTCGAATAATTTTTATGAAAAAAAAAAACAGGGGGAGAAGTAGTGCAACATCAAGCTAATTAAAAGGGTAAAAATTTTCAAATGAAAAATAGACATTTCAATGAAAATACTTTTCATCATGGAGAAGATGCAATTTGGAAATGACTCCTCTCAAATTGATCGAACATTAGAATACCCCAACTCAATTGAGGGGGCTATCATCACAGCTTATGTAGTCAATTCTTTTGTAAATATGAATCTTGTTATTAGCCAATTCTAAAAATATAAATTTTGGCAAAAGAATTCGATGTTCAGAAGAAGTTTTCCTTGAACTAAATTAGATAGTGAAAGCCATGGAAAATCAGGTGGAGGATATTTTGTCAAAAACCCTTTTTTCACCCTAATATCGCAATTTTCCGGTTAAAAAGTAACTTTACAATTATAAATCTAAGATCTTCCTCTCTAAGTTTTGTGCTTTCCGTGTGCACGCTAGTTTTAGTCAATTGTGAATTGACTTGCACAAATTTATTCAACTTCTAGGACATCTTTCAGTAGAGATGGCATTGGTGACGATCATAATAATTCGAAGTTGTAGGCTCTTTGACGATAATTTTCAAGCTTCTTGACTAACTATGGTGTGAAGGCTAGATGCAATGACTACTCGGCTCGACACTCCTACGTCGAATAGAAACAAAACTCGGCAAAGAGAAGAGAACATGCTTGCAGTCAACAATTCAGCATGTTTTGTCAATTTTACAATAGCCAAGCTTTATAGCCGGACCTCTTACAACAGTTCAGTATGTTTTGGCTATTTGATTATTGAAGAATTTACTTCATATGTAAATTAAGTTTACTATTACCCTCAAGGAAAATTAGTTACTTTTCAATATTAGGGAGACATATCCTTTCAAGCTCGCATGAGAAGACTACATGGAGTTAATGGAAAAATTATTGAACAAAAGATTTTTGTGGATTGGTCATGATCATCATTCATTTTTCTGGGATCAAAAGTCTGAACTGTGAGAAGAAGCGTCTTTTGAGGGCAATGAAACCCTAGGACCATGTTTTCATTGTCACCAAGAAATTTAATCACCACAACGAAAAGGAAATTGAAGATTAGGGTTTTGAGTCAAATGATGAATCTTTTAATAAAGACAACTTCCATGATGAGGAAGAGATCATTCTCAGAACAATCTTTTACAGTTGATATAGATTTAGAAAATAATTAATATTGAGTACATAATTGCCAAACCTAAGTCATATATTTCTCCAAAGTCTTGCTATTAGCTGAGAAAGAGGTTGTATGGTTCGTTTGATTATCCTGAATAGATTGGGGAAGTCAAGTGTGAAAATTAATCGTTACTCCAGGAAAGAAAATTTCAGTGATCTTGAAGTTGTGTTATCAAAATTCAAGATGTTTCCAAGGAGTTTGCTGAGTAGGAGAATTTGATATTTTAAACTCGAAATCGAGTTTAATGAAATTGTATGATGCGAGAGTTTATCATGATAAGTTGAGTTCCGATGCAAATTTTTGATATTAAATATTCCAAAATGGATTTTAGAATGCAAGATGTGTTGTTGTAAGCTATCTAAAAAATGAACGGTGTGAGAATAATTGAAACCCAGATTCTTGTTGGTGGGTTGAATGTAGTTTCTTAAGATTTGAAATCTTTCCCATCCATCATATAAGTACATGCATTTGTGACGCATCGGAGGTTAAGGCACAATAAGTCGAGGAGATGATTGAACAAGCCTCGAAACTTTTAGGGTTTAGGGTTCCATGAATGCTCTAAAATATTCTCAAGAATATCATGGGCAATGTATACTTGTATTCTAGTGAAATCTTCTAATTGATAGGGGTAGATGATTGATGGAGAAGTTGGATCTTTATTGTTAGATCAATAGAAGATTTGCGTTTGCAAAGTTGCTTATGTATAGAGAAGGGTCTTCTCCTACTCATTTATCATTCTACATCCAACACAATAAGAAGTAATAGAGCATTTTATCCCAAAACACTCCTCTCTCTAAAGTTTCTCTCTATAGTCCTTGTGTGCCAAGCGAGTGAGTGAAAGATCAATTGAAGAGAAGGCTGAGCTTAGGAGACTATAGTAAGGGGTGAACGAGTTAAATGAAGACTTAGTGCACAAGTCACGATGTCAAGGATCGGCCTGTGATAACTAATACCAGAGCTAGTAGTAGTGGATAAACTGTTTGAGAGAGTTGGTAATACATACCAAGTGATTAAGAGTGTTGGAATCAAATGCTACCACCATTGGTTCTATTGGAGACAAGGCTCAAGAGAAGGGTTCTCATGCCAACAAGACTAGAATGAGGGATATCATGTCCTCGTTTGAGGAGAATCTTGTCGAGGTGTTGTTGATCGTGGGTATATTGAAGGATGTATATGGGGACTTGATGGAGAGAATTGAGCAGGTTAAGGAGATGCTTTGCGATGAGTTCTCGACCACCTATAATCAACTTGTTGGCTCGTTGCATGAGAGGAATGTGTCGGGTGGTCTTGGACATACTTTCCCTCATACTTTGAAATTGACCATCCGTCCATTGTCTAACTGATGTGGGATAACCCCAACAATCTCTCCCTCTCACAACGAGTAATGGGTTAGAGCAGCAACAACTCATGTCTCATGTGTAACTGTTAGGTCCAGACTTGTTGGTAACTTGAGCTTTTATTAGTGTTGAGTAGTTTTTGACCTCTCTCATCCCAAAAACTAGCTCAAAAGATAAGGCTTTCTCTTACACTTATAAATTGACCACCAACCCCTTCCATAATCGATGTGGGGTAACTCTAACAGAATGATTTTCAAGTTTTTGGTGGAGGACCTTCAAGGCGAGCAAAGGATAGTTAAAGAGGAACTCAAGGCTTACGAGACGGCTAAAGCCAGCGAGATAATCATCATTATCCCGAGTCCAAAGGTGGACGTTTTGAAGCCAAAGGAGTTCAAGGTAGATTGGTTTGCCAATGAGTTGGGCAACTTCTTATGGGGGATGAAACAATATTTCACTAACGTGGGTATCAAGGATAAGGAGACTAAGATATGATCTGTTGCAATGTATTTAACTGATATTGCTATGTTTTGGTGGCGATGTAGGTGCGACAATCAGAGGCGGGGTGCCAAGCTGATCAAGTATTGGACCGCCTTTGTCAAGTATTGCCAGGATGATGTCATGAAGTAAGTTATGACATCTCACTTAAAAGGGCGACATTTGTGAGTATGTGCGAGAGTTTACCTAGCTCTTGTTGGAGATTATGATCATGACCGAATCCAAGGCTCTATATTAATGGATGCGCTCAAGTTTTGAGCGAGGTTGGAATTACAACGCTGAGGAGTGCAAGAGCTGTCTAGGGCTCTAGCTGCGACCAAGTCCTTCATTGATCTCCATTGGATCGACTCTTCTAACTCTGAGGGAAAAGTTGGGGGAGTGGATCACCACCACAAAGAAAAAAAGGAAAATGAAGATGTCCATGACCAAAGGGACAAATGTGAAAAGCCTCTTAAGTGACTAGTGGAAGAATCCACAAGAAGAATTGTTCGAGGATCGGAAGAGGAAGTCGATCGAATGCCTCTTTTACGATAGGCCTCACCATGCTCGATATTGCGAAGAAGAATAAGCTTTCGGCAATGTGCTCCATGGAGGAGGAGGAGTTGAGGCAAGAGAAGCGGAAAGTGCAGATTGTGACATTGAACCTACACAACTCCTTAAAGACTCAAATACCACCCAAGAAGCCTTCAAGATCGAGTTTGCTATTCGTGGAGCCAACCCAAAATCATTTCAAGGCAGTCCACTCATACAATGTAGCGGCCGTGGGCTTTGCTTGAGACATGGATACGAGCAACGATGATTCAAAGTGGAAATCTTTAACAAGGTGGATGCCATAATCGACATGAGGATCGATTATTGAGAGTTGCCATCCATAATGCTGATGATTCGTGGGTTGACGTCAGCCAAGATTATCTCCCTGATATGACTCGTGGAGGGAAAATTGAGAGTTGAAAAGCTCGTGTCAAGGACAAGACCCCAAACTTTGAAAAGTCCAAAGGTGGAGTTGGAGCGGTCCAAGCTATTGGGAAAATCCCTTAGGATATTTTGAAGATAACAAAATAATTAAAGACTATTAATGTGTTTGTTGGTTGAGTAAATCAGGTGAAAGATGCAAAAGCCGTTATGTAGATGTTGTCCTGAC